AAAAAAAAAAAGTCAAAAATCAGATGTTTGTAAATGGAACTTCTCAGGAGTTACAGCAGTGACAGCCAATTACACAAGAAAAGACAGAGGGCCAGTCAGGAGCTTGTTGGAAGTCTGAACTCAGGGAAGCAAGCTTCAACTTGAGCTGCAATGTTCCACTTGGTCCTAGTGCTTGACCAGTTTTGGTGTACTGTAGCGTAACATTGTGTTTGGACAGTAAAAAGTCCAGGGGACCAAAAAGACTTTTGAAAATGTGCAGGGGACATCTCCCTGTTTCAATACAGTTTTTTTTCCCTCCAAAGTTATTGGTTAATAACTGTAAAAGATACATTTTATTGTATGTTGCATATATCAGTATATCTGTTTCATTTTTAAATCAGCAGCTGTCCCTACTTGTGTTTTTGTGCTCTGCTTAGTGACAGATTTATTAACCTGATGCTAAAGAAACAGATTTTTAAGATATCTACAAGCTCTGCAGTGTGATTCTGTCTGTTCAGTAAGAAAACAACAGATATGTGTTAGGTATTGAACCTGCCATCATTTTTCTCTGTAAATATATTTCTAGAGGTGCTTTTTACATGACATTTTCACCAGATTTCGGTAACAATCCATGCAATCGACACGTACAAAGAAATCAAACCATTGATGTCCATAAATATAGTAATGAGTAACAAAGTGAAATGGCACAGGGAAAAAGTATTGAACACACTTACTGAAATGTAGCTTCAATACGCCTCCTGGATGGAGAAATTAGTCGCATGCATTCCTCAGGCGTTATTTTCGCCCATTCTTTCACACAAAGAAAGCGTGCCAAGAGCTATTGAGCAGGGTGCCAGCTAGTCAGCTGCAAATTAATGTATGGACCCTGTAAGGCGACTATAATTCTGTAAATTCTTTTATTGTGCCACAATGGGGAAATTCACTCTCTGCATTTGACCCATTCCCTTGGGGAGCAGTGGGCTTCCATTGTGTGGTGCCAGGGTAGCAGTGTGGGGTTAAGGCAGGCATTC